TCAACGATGTCAAGGATATCACTTGGCAAGGAATACTCGTGCGGGCCTTGTGGCACTGGTAAGCTATGAGAACAAGGTATTTGCTTCATCCATGGTTCTTCAAGTTATATTCTGATCCTGCGCAAAGGCCCCTCCACAGCTATGGAAACTAGAAATGGTCAAAGACATTGCTAGGTTAACTCTTCGGCGAGTTAAAAATTAGGCCCCTAAGCCGAGCTATGACTGACTCAATGCCTCTATCAGGCATACGTACATGCCTAAATCCCAGGTAGATTTTGCAGGCCCTAGTTACTTTGGAGGCAAAAGTGACGAATTAGTCCTCTGCGCTGGGAAAGGCAAGCCTAGAAATATTCACATACCTATAGCAGCTGACTTGATTTTCTTTAGCCGGGGACATACACATATGGGATCAGGAATCCGGGGCACTGCTTCACCATGTTCGAGCCCAAGATCTCGGTGGGGACCTGACTTGCATAGCCTGGAACCATGCCGAAGACAATCCTTTCATGTTCGCCACAGGAAGTCATGATGGCGCTCTACGAATATGGACAAAAATTGAGCGACAATTGCAAGCTCATTCTTCCCCGGCTGGGCCGGATGATCAGCTTCCTTTCTTCACTCGCAGCTCCTCGCCATCTGAGATGGAGGGCATGCAGCGCACAGAAAGCCCATTAACACAACAGGAGTTCGAGTCGTCTTTTGCGAACAGTATGGAGAGCTTGACATCGTCCTCTGGTAACAGGGAGAGGGTTGTGGCATTTGCTACAACACATGCAGCCTCAAACTCTGGAATGTTATCGTAACAAAGGGAAGGAAGGATATATTTCAGAATTATCACGATATTATGGTTTTAAAGATACGAACACGTAGGCGTCAATGACCAGAGAATGGAGAGAAATTATATGCCATCGTAAACGGATTCGTCAGTAGACTTCCATTTTGAACGACGGCCATTACCAGTTGTACCAAGCCAATACAAAGGTTACTTCGTCATAACGATACTCAAAAATCATTATAAGATCGTTTGGAATTTTTGTAATGCTACAAGAACTCAATACGATGCAAGGTCCACGAACAGATTACAGATAAGCGAACAAAGAAGGGGTAATAACATATGTGCAGTCCGGATAATAAAACATGGTCGGCGAAGGGTTGTCGCAGAGGGCAGAACATCAAAATTTCGAAAGGCGGCAATCCAATCGAACGGGATGAACTGTGATTATTTTCCTGTTGCCTTCACGATGGAAACCACGATGATAACAATGATCACAGCAATTGCAAGACCGATGATAATGCGCATCTACGACGTCAAGGTTCGTAAAAATTATACGGGAAGAGACCGATATAGACGCACCTTCATATCCTTCCACCTAGCGACATGAGAGAATGGATCATGAGTAAACCCGGGTGATTCTCAGCTGACACATAACAATTTACATACCACATATTCTAACAGGATGGTCAGTTCCGTAGAATGTGATAAGAAAGTGAAGAAAAGGCGGCATACCTTTCTGACTCTGTTTGCTCCACGACGGAATCCTTGTGCAGATACTGCAAGGTTGTCTAAAAATCATATCGTCAGTACGCCGACAATTCCTGAGAGCTGCGCGACCCGTTCTGGCCGTGAACGAAATGAATGTACACTACAGCGCAGTGGAGTAGGGGAACCAGCGCACCTGTCTTATCCTGTAGCGAGTCCAACCTTTCACCTCTCTCTGCCACCTTCGAGATATTGTCTCTCATAATTTCAACGGTATCGTCAATTTGAGCCTGAATAGCAGCTGTCTTCGCATTTCCGCCCTGACTAGGACCCGAGGGATTTGAGGAAGAGCCATTCCTAGGAAGATAAGGGTCGTAAGGTTCGGACCTAGAGGATTTTGAGATACAGGTCAATGCCAAAAAAAATGTTGTTATGCTGTTGACTGACATTATGAATGCGTTGAGGTCTGAGCTTCACAGACTTGAATAAGAAAGTGCCACAGGAGAACCGGAAGTAATGAACTCACCGTGTCAAACGAAGCAGGAGTTGTACAAAGGGTTGAACAAGGCGTGCTGTCTGTCTGCTGGTGGTTGTTGACGAAAGTTGACGTAGAGCCCCCAGGTTTTCCCACGTACAGGATCTACTTCGCAACAGCTCATTGTCATCATTGTCAGTAAGCTGCAGTGCGCATATCTTTCAATCTTTTCTTTTATTCTTCTCATTTCTCAAACAAAAAAAATATCACGAATAGATGGAAAAGTAACCAAGAGAAAGCGGCATTCACGGAATAGGTTATATGTGCTTTACACAGCCAGTGTGAGTGAGTCCATTCCCGCAGGAACTGAAATCCACCTAGAGTCATGTTCTCATGTTAGAGATCCCGGAAGTTTCTAGCTGTGATCTGACGCAGATACCGTACATCACACTCCACTTACTGTAATGAAGGAACATATCGATTATCAATAGTGGTGAGACGCATACAAGATGTTAAGACTTCGAATTACCTGACCTCACTTCCTCCTTATCAGGATAAGAATATTAAGCAAGAATGGTCCATGCGGCTCTTGCAAGGCTTTGAATCCCGAGACGCTCATACAATCTGTGTATTTCCTTTCAAAAAAACTGTTAGGTCTTGTGCTTCCTTTACTGATATATACCCGTTCTACTGTGGTCATTCGCCTGCTTACTGGATGTGAATCTACATTCCGACTGATCTGCTCTTGATTATTCTTTTATATGGTCGACGAATGTTCCATCCGGGTATTACAACGCAGTTATAACTATCCGGAGTCTGATCTATTGAGGACATCGATGAACCAAAGGCCAAAGGCGGAGTCTGAAGTTACAACCTACAGGGCATATGGTGATAATAACGCCTTTTGACATTGTAGTGCCCGCGCTCATGCGTCAAGGTAAATTGTCTTTTCAAACACGAGCATCCCGGAAAGTCGTCAAATATTCGTTCCAATTCTGATGCGTTCTTTCCGATAGTGGCCACTGACTCCCGCTGTCCCTATCGTAGTGCATCGTAGTGCGTTTTACTCTATCTCACCGCCGCCGCGTTAACCGGTCAACGCGCCTATTCCAACCATTCTATTGACGCTCGTAAATATTTGCTGCCCTATTCCCGTAGGCGCGCTCTCTGAATCTCAAAACATTGAGATGACAGGATACAGATCAACAGAAACAACTCTGATATGATCTGCGAGGTGTCGAGATATAATCTCGCGTTTTGTACCGTTAGTCCAGCGTATATGGTAATTTCAGGTCTGAGGACCGACAAGTATGGATTTCTTCAGATTTCTTTTCATCTTACAAGTCGTCCCTGTTCGGGAATTTTCTCCCGAGGATCAAGGCGGTGACGACTCATATAAGAAGCCTGTTAATTATCGTGGACTTTATCCGAGCTTTCCCATAATGATTCACTTGCAAGCTGGACTATTAGGACTCGTGAGCACCACTCTCTGACCCATTGGAATTATATCCTCATATCTGCTCACAGGCCAATCATTTGCTATTCCACAAGTATGAACCCACGGATGCAATATTCGGACAAGCTATTCTGTTGTTGCTTTTGGAGCCTCTGGTTCTCAGCTTCATGTCATGGACGTACTCTACTGGCTTCGTGAGATTGCCTCCACATCATCTGGTGTTCAGCGCGTACACCACCTTTTACGCTGTATTGATAACCTCTATCGTCCTTTACCGAGTTTCGCCCTTCCATCCTTTGGCCAAAATTCCAGGTCCTATATTGTTCAAAATCACCAAATTCGCACCTCTCTGGTATCATTGGCAAGGACAGCAGAGCTCACTTTTCATGTCGCTCCACGCTCAATACGGGCCTGTCGTCCGAGTTGGTACGCCACAAGCTCCTATGACATTCATGATTCAGACCTAAGATATTTTGTATATGTACATAGCACCAAATGAAATATCTGTGGCAGATGTTGATGCAGTAGGTGCAGTTCTCGGCAGTGGGGGCTTACCGAAAGGGGCAGGTTTGTGATATTACTTTGAATCTCCGTTTCTGTCTTACGATCAAATACTTGCTTTCATAGCTTATATCAGATTCCGTGTAGTGAGTGGACCAGAGAACTTAGTCACGATGAACGGCGATCCGCATGCAGCCCGCCGCCGATTATGGAATCGAGCTATGAGCACCGAGGCTCTACAGGAGTACGAATCTATCGTTGCAAGCCGGGCGCACGAACTGGTTGACGCACTGGATGCCCAGATTTCGACGAAAGGTGCAGTCGATATGACCCAGTGGCTTAACTTCTTCTCGTGAGTTGCGTTGCTCTTTCATAAATCGGCAGCTACATAATCGTCGAACCTAGATTCGATTTCATGAGTGACCTAGGGTAAATGAATATCACCGTACTTGCGAGATCTGGCTTTGATGAACTCCCGCTTTCAGATTTGCTGCGGGGATTTAACATGATGAAGGAGGGTGACGTGCACAAACTTTGGCCTGGTCTTCATCTTCACATGAGGTATGATATCCAAAAGATGAGAGTTGGACTGGCATTGATTGTTCGTTGCTCACTGTTATCAGAGGTGTCTGCATATTGTCACATCTACCATGGATCCCAGACATTAGAAACCGTTTACCTTGGTTCACTATGCCTCTATGGCCCATTGCAAGAAAATGGTCTGCCAATCGTTTGCGTAATCCTTCTCAAAAAAAAGATATCTGGTACCATCTTGTAAGGACTTCACGAATTTGCATAGTGATGAGCACACGCTGATTAACTCTTGCCATTCAGATGGATGAAGCCGGATTAGAAAAAGTCAAACCGAGCCTGGCTGAAGTAGGCGCCGATGCGGTCCTCACTGTAATTGCGGGGGCTGACACTACTTCTTGTGCGCTCGCTGCGCTGTTTTGGTACGTTTGAAAAAAAGCACACGGATTCAGACACGGAACCAACTTCCAAAAATAGGCTTCTTCTGTCCCATCCGGAATGTTATAAACGCCTACAGCAAGAAATCGATGTAGTTTATCCTTCTGGTTCCGACCCTCTCGATGTATCAAAACATTCGCAACTCCGATACTTAGCTGCTTGCATGTTTGTGACAGCGCTATCTTCCGGTTTGAATGCTGAGCTAACATTACCTCGTTTTACAGCCAAGAAGCTTTGCGTCTTCTACCGCCTGCGCCCGTTAGTGGTGCAAGAGAAGTCCCGCACGGCAGCGGCGGCACAGAGATTGCTGGACAGTTCGTAAATTCTACGTCAACTTTTGTTTACCTACAGCTCACAAATTCCTCCAGCTTTCTCCCTGAAGGCACGCAAGTCTGGGCTCCACCAAAAGTCTTCCACCTCAATCCATCGTATTTCTCTCCTAGAACGGATGAATTTGTCCCAGAGCGTTGGTTAAATTCAAAGAAAGACGACGACGAGGAGAATGTGTTTAAAAACGACACGAACGCCTTTCTCGCATTCTCTTATGGACCCGCAAATTGTGCAGGCAGAAACCTAGCAAGGCAAGAAATGATGGTTATGTCTATTTTATTGCAGACTTTTGATTTCCGATTTGCGGACGGTTTTGATTGGGAAAAGTGGCCAGAACGACTGACAACGTTCTTTGTGACCATAAGACCTCCGATAGAAGTTTCGATAACTCGTGTGGGTTATAGTATTATTACATCGATAGCCCTGGCTGAGCCTGTGGACTGCAGCAGTCATTCTGATATGTCGAATACCCACATACTTAGAAGAACTCTGTGTAAATATACCTTGTTGTATAACTACTAGCTGTATCAACGCATGTCAAATATGGTTCCTATTTCTGCTCGAATTGAACTTTAAAGTCAATTCGCCAATGGCCACATCCATTGCCAACAACTTCAATGTCACTGTCAGTAGTCACACGCCTCCGGGCCTGCCAGATCTCCAAAGAACCATTTAACACCTATGAAAAAAGTACTTAATGTCAGCGCGGGTAAGGTGAACATCGACTCTGAATCAAATTCTACACTGACCGATCGAGTACGATCTACAACTACCCACTTCTCCCGCTTTCTGTGTGAAGCATGACATCGACAGTTTCCTGCATGGCTTCCACATTCCGATGAATCTCCCTCAATTGCTCCTGCCTCACCAACCTTGCTCTTTCCATATCGACTAAAATCTGGGAAGCTGTCTGCTTTATCTCTCCCAGTGCCCTATCAGTAGCGGCAGAGCTTTGCCTTATCTGTTGACTAGCCCGTTCGAGATCGTTGTAAAATTGCATGGCAAGGTAGAAGTTAACGAAACTAAAAACGTTGACACGAGGTGTTCACATAAATCATTGCGATTACCACATAGGATTCACACTAGTTGCAATTAACAACCATGGTAGAACCCAGTAGAACATGAACTGGAATCGTATGCGACGATGATAAATAGAAAGAAGACACTTGCGTCGTTGTCCGGTTTAGAGGAGATAGTCGCATGTTGAGCATGTGTAACGGAAAACGAGAGGACATCATAAGTGTCAGAGCATACAAAGGTGAATAATCAACGAGGACCAAATCCTTTATCGTCCACCCTTTCCACCCTTCATCTGTTGTTTGGATACCTTTGGTCCAGATGCACCACTTGGGCGCGAAGCAGGCTGGAAAAGATATCAGTGAAAGAAAGTGGACAAGAATCTGATATACACATACTTTGGCTTTCTTGTTCTCCTTCTCCTTTTTCTCAGTTTTGGCTTTAGTGATGGCAGCTAGTCTTGCCTGAGAACGGACAGCAGCAGTCTGGTTACGTCTGGCAGCAATGGTAGCAAGGTCGGCACCGACAATGCCTCGCTGGTGCTTTACAGTCCGGCGTGAACGCTTCTTAGCAACTTCCTCCGTGATACCCTTCTTGTGCATGCGCCTGTACACCTGAGTCCAGGCGATCTTACGTGGATTCTTCCTCTGCAAGAAGAGAGATGCATTTTTTGAGCTGGCGAAACGGAAGACCTGCAAGCAACGATTAGGCGGTCGGTATTTGGTAGATGAAGCATGAGCGTACTTTACTGTCCCCACGAACGAAAAGTTTACCCTTTGAGGGGTAGATACGGAAACCAGAAAAGGAGTCGATCTCGACCTTCTGCACTCGATACATCTTGATTAGCAGGAAGTCTCCCAAAGATGAAGAAAGACTCACCATCTATAATGGAAATACAAGACGGAGAAGCAGTCAGTGCAACTTTCATACAGGAAAAGCTTCCCAGCCCCCGCCCAAGAGTCATCCGTTCATTCCAACTTCAATCCAGCAGTAAATCTCGCTTTTGAATCACGAATTTGACACCAATATGAGGCCAAGGGATCATAGAATGTGTTTGAAGGGGTATTGTGGCATGAATTCAAGACAATTACCTTGTGTCTTGAGGTTTGAAGGAGTTGGAAGGCGGTCGGTTATTTTCAAAATTACAATTCGTTCGGCCGGCAACGGAAATCCTCGCGCTTCTCATTTTAAGCGCGCAAGTACATATCGTTCTTCCTCTGTTTCGGACGTGAAACCAACCGAAATGTTGGGTCACACTGGCATATCTACTGGGATATTTACACTAGCGGATTTGCTGTACACTGGAACTGCTCACCGAAATTTCTCAAACAGTCCCCAGTCCGTCACGCTACGTATTATTGGACTCTATCCAAGGGGTTCTATACTCCGTTTACTAAGTGGATCGTCTTACTCTAGTTTTATTGATTTGATTATCCCTATATACAGTGATCTCCTAGACAGTGTCATTTTAGTGGACCTACCAACGTTTCCTGAGAGGCGCGTCCCAGAACAATGGTGATGTATCACTTGTTTTAGAGGATTCAGATTCTGCAGGCTGCCGCAGACTCGGTATGTCCTATGAACTGCACATTACCGTTAGAGTGTCTTACACAGTTCATGGGACCCTGATGCTCATTACCTTTTGCTCTTTCGGTGAGGCTTCGTCCTGGACAGTTTCCTCCCTCCCGACTTAGAACGAACACTAGGACAAAAGTATGACTAGTTATTCATTGCAAGCATTGTCGGACTGCAAACAGGTTTCAAAGAAAACTCAACCCGATGATGAAGCAACATAAGCGAAGAATAAATTTAATTTTTGCACGTTCTCAAGTAATACACTAAGGTCTTATGCTATACTAAGCTACAGACTGTCAATGAAGAAATCAAGATCTGCAAAATAAAAAGAGAGTAACTTGGTGAGAAACTGACATCGACCGAAAAAGACAGGAAATTATGCAGTCAGAGATACGTGAATTCAATCAAAGCCAAAGCTCAGAAACAGCTTCTAGTTGATAATTATTTCGAACAGTATCATCACCAAAGAAAGGGAAGAAATAGACAATGACAGGGAGAGGGACTCACAAGAGTGGTTCGACCAACAAACATGGTGGTATGTATGAAGAATACTAGCAAAAAAACCCCCCGATGAGAGTACTCTGTAACTTATGGGATGTCAGCAAATGAAAAGCAAAAATGAAAGGGGTGAAATTCAGAAGGGTTGCCCGAATGATTGAGCTGTGGCGGGCACTTTCGGCAGTGATAGTACGAAGACCGTCGTGATAAACATCATACGAGAACAAAAAAAAAACATCTGTACTCACATCCAAGACGCGAAGCACATGAAGATTTATAAGAAACGCCAGAGTGATATCTGAGAGAAAAGTAGTCAGCAAATGATTCGACGGACTGCAGGTCGAAGATTGGCTCAGTGTTTTTATAAAACAGCCTTGGAATTTTCGTCAACAAGCCCGGAAGCTTGGTCAGGCGGTAACTCCATTCATATCATCACGGAATAGAGACGAAGAATATAAAGATGCTCACAGGAGGGTGTTCAGTGATGTGGTGGGATTGCATATATGCTTTAGTGACACCGACAAAACATCTGGAAATTGATTTAGTAATCATGGAAGTTCGCGGACAGCGAAGAGAACAAGCACAAGGATTCAGGGAAGATATGTTAAAAGCATAGGGCCGAAGACGCTCATATACTCTAGTTTGAATGTGTTTGAATCATCATAAAGAAACGACGACGGCGATATGAACAAATAAAGGACGAACAGACTCACCGACAACATCGAAGTAAAACGACTCTACGTTTTGAAATGTCCCCTCCTCCAAACTATCTTCCTCAAACTCCGCGTTATTTACATTTGGGACCGTGTCAGTACTTCCTCCTTCTCCCCGAGTAAAAGGACCTAAAGAAACAATGGGTATTCAGCGTCCGCAAACACAAGAAAGACAAAACCGATCAGCGTAACTATGACAAATAGTTTTACACTGCGTCAAAGAATAGGTAGCTCTCGACACTCAAGAAACATTGGAAATTTTCATCCCTTCGAAAGAGTAAAAGCACAAAACTCACCCGATTGGAATAACCATCGTGGTTGTGGAGGAGAGCTGAAAAAAAAATTTATGATCGTGTCACGGCCTAGTTTAGGGCAGGCTGAGGTTGCACCGCGCTGCAAACGCGCGCTTATAATGTTCCAAAAATGCTCATGTCCATATTAAGCGCTCAAGCCGGTCCGCGTCGGAAACGGCACTCATTCTTCTCACGGTCCATCACAACAGAATCCAAAGCGACCTCGTCGACACACCTCAAGTACCTCAAGACTAAGAAAAATGGTTAGTATATCCCTAGATCTCTGATTCTAGTCTTGTCTCTGGTGTCCCTTGATATGCTGCTGGCTCTCTGGAAGAAGGAATTGACGGAATTTGGGCTGGATTGAAAAATCTGTGGTCGGATGAGCTTTTACACTTGGATGTTTGGGATATTTTCGCATCTTCTCTATCCTTCGTCGCAGACATAATACTGATGCTATATTTTTTTCCCTCTCTTTTAGACCAAAGGTTCGTTCATGGCTCGCCCAAGGAACTCGCTGATATATATTTTGCCTGTCGATTTAATCTGAATAGGAACCTCGTCTTTTGGGTGCGTTCCAATCTATATTGCAAGTTTCCCAATGATAATTGATATGTCTCACTTCTTCTAGTAAGCGACACACAAAGTCGCACACGCTTTGCAGGCGATGCGGTAACAGGGCTTTCCACAGACAACACAAGAGTTCGTCATTATCCTTCATCAGTCCGTCGAATGATCATTCATATCTTCATATTTCCTCTCAGCCTGTGCGTCTTGCGGCTATCCTTCGGCAAAGATTAGGTCTTACGAGTGGGGGCTAAAGGCAAAGCGCAGAAAGACTACTGGAACTGGTCGTATGAGGTATCTGAAAGAAGTGTCGCGCCGCTTCAAAAACGGATTCCGGTAAGCGTTCATTTTAATTCATTCACAACACATTTCGTAATCGACTATCTTCAATCGCATCTAGGGAGAACACAGTGGCTAAAAAACGTTCCAAGCCGACTGCTGAAGCATAAGCAGCTCGCATACATATACACTCTCTTCCTTCGCAATGTCCATGTATTCGTATACTTCCATGCTATGCACCAACTGCCCATGCCCACATTCGTTAAACAAAATGAGCCCCTTGGCGAAGCTCATGCTGCGGGTGAATGGAGGTCTGCAAGCACAAGTGTAAAATGCGATTATGTGATGCTCTAGGTGCAGAAACGAGCATTGGAAATGATAATTTATCAGTAAACTGCTTACAGAGCAAGAAAAAATGATTTATGCATCCGTTCTCATTTCTCTTGAGATTTTGCATTCAAAAAGTCAGCTTCCACTGACTGCTTCGATTTGCATTTATTGACAGAACAAGAACCGGAAAGGAGAATGAGAGACGAGTACTCGTGTAACTCTGAAACGCCGAGAACTTTTGGAGGGATTGATTTGAATCGGCAAATGATATGGTCGTACGTACGTTTTAGGTGTATTTTCGGGCGATGGGGGACGAGCGTTTACCTGTGAGGGCTCTTCACCCCATAAACAATATCTAACCCATCACCCAGCATAAGAGTTAAATGGAGATTTGGGACATCATCATACACTTGAGGTCTTCAGAATCACTCCAATTATTCTCTCGATTAGTTCACTCTACTTTTTCTTTTTTGACCTGGACTATCGAGCTCGTTCATAATTACACCTTTGGGCTTTCAGAATAACTCTTAATAGCGTGCCGTCCGAGATTCAGATGGTCTAAACAGGCCGAGGCGGGGTCACGGCTATGATACTAGAAATAGAAGTTACGCTTGCTTCGCTGCATTTATTTCGCAAGCTGCACAAGAGTGAAGAAAAATCGATCAATTCAATTCTTCCTCCGGGGCTCTGTAGATACGACTTGAACGCGGTTGAAAAGCTGTTTAATGTTGGATTAATACTTCGTATGCTTGCTTTCTTGTCGTATGCTTGCTTTGGTACGTGTGACTATTATTCCGGCCACCGAACTCGACCACTCCTATTTACTACTCGATCACCTTATATACTTGATACTGCCGTTTGAACTCCCTCAGTTGATAAGGAAAACCTCAATCACCTTATATACTTGATACTGCTGTTTGAACTCCCTCAGTTGTTTTCCTTATCAACTGAGATTTCATTCAACAGATTATGAGACTGGAGTTCAACTGAGCTTAGGAGACAAACTCACATATTGATTGCAGTCAGTTATTATCCTCTATCTTGGAAGCTATGTCCTCCACAGCTAGTTCGCTGTCGATCCCGCGCTTCCCCGAATCATCTCAATTGGCTGGCGAGTGTTACGATCACTTCTTTTTCATCTTATCTTTTCCTTATCTTGTCTTATCTTTTATCTTTTGTATTATCTTCTATCTCTCTTATCCTATATCTTGTCTTATCTTGTCACCTGACCTATTATTTATGCTTACTGATACAACATGCGCTTTTCATTTACTTATATTAAACACAGCAGTCTCACAACACATATACAGCATGACGATCGAGCTTTCATTACTTACACATTGCTTTACTTATGTTCTACTCATGTTTACCACTAACCCAGGGCGTTGGGCATTAGTAGGGCGGAGGGTTGTTTACTTGTATATAAGCTGTAGTTACTTGCTGTATTTCCTTAGCTTTGATCTCGTCTATTCTACCTGGTTTAGCCCAGAACTCTGCTTGCTTTATCGCTTCACTATCTGAGGTTTTCTTGAGTGTGACACCTGGTGACACCCGTTACTAGAACCAGTCGCTGACAGCGAGAATACCTGGCGAATTTTCAAAGACCAAGTCCTCGCGCACATTGAAGTTAGGGAATTGGAAGGATATCTTGATGGTACCATTATTCGACCTTCTGCTGGTGGCTATGTCTCTACATCTACGTTGTACCCTCCTGCCTCTACAACAACACCAGCATTTAGCCCTACCCTTTCCCACATGAATGGCGTCAACGCGATAGGATGGCAGCCAGCATTATATATCTCAACATTGTTGATCCCGTTGGGCTAGGTGTCGAATGCGAAAAGCCTGCGTCATATCTGGGCTGAATTAAAGAAGAAATATGAGAGACGAGACGAGATGCGGGTACATCAGGCCGATACCAAACTTCGGTCGGCTCGATTTGACCCCAGTAATACGACGATTGAAGAGCATGAAAAGACAATGAAAAATCACCTTAAGGAACTCCGAAACTTGGGTGGTTCTTGCCTCGACTCCCAATTCCATCTCATTGTAATCGCCTTGATGCCTAAATCATGGAGAGATCTCTTAATCAATGTCAAGGGAATCTCGGGTGACAATGCCTTCATTCACCTTCGCCAAGTCTATGACAACAAGAAGGAAGACGAGGAGGATACCCGACAGCGTAGTCAGGTCCGGGCTCTCATTGCTCAGGAAATGGCTTCTTTCCACTCTGCAAATACTGCATCTGCTCCCAAGAAGGATCACCCTATGTGTACAAATCCTAATTGCCCTCCTTGTCGACGTCGTACTCATACGGTTGACAAATGTTGGGCACCCGGTGGCGGTAATGAAGGGGGGGACCTAAGAAAGCCAAAGCCTCAGCAACTCAAACCGCAAATTACGCTAGTGACGGTGGAAATCGCACCATCATGGAACTTTTTGATTTGTGTACATCGTCACCAACACCCATTCTATCTACCCAACTTCCTAATGCCCATACCTGCAGAGACTGTGAATCAGTATCAACAGGGTATGGTGCAGATAAAGAGGTTACATACCATGTAGACACGTTTAATTCCTCCATTTCCGACTCGATTCCAAACTTTGATGAATATACTGCTTGTTCAGCCCATAATGCGAAATCTTTCCTATATGCTGCATCCAAACCTCAGACACCCCAAACTTTTCTCGACTCAGCTGCGAGTGATCACTTCTGGGTTTGAAGAGCTGACTTTATTGAGTATGAGAATTTATACGGAAAGGCGGGGAAATCAGCCATTGCTGGAAAGGCAGGGGAGTTTGAGATTCATGGCAAAGGTATCGTAGAATTCGAGACGGCCGTTAATGGGATAAGGAGGAAATGCCAATTGAACAACGTCTACCATACACCATCCTTTCATCACAATCTAATTTCATTAAGGACATTAGATGCTAAAGGAATGAAAGGGGAATGGGGTAGAGGATCACTCACTGTACGAACTGCAAATGGAAGTATCGTTATGCAAGGCGAAGGAAAGGGAACGATGTATGAGGTACAAGCTCACTTCGAGCCCT